TAGCCATGCTGTCTCATCTCTCTCATTTCAGTAACACAACAAATAAACTACTACTATTGCTAACAATAGTTTAGTTTTCACTCTGATTTTATACCAAATAAGCCATAGTCACAGACAAATTTTCATTCTGGCACAAGGAATTTTTCATGTTTTTTTTTTATTTTGTGACATATTACTTTATAGCATCAGTCCTATTATTACTGAAATTTAAATGTATTTCTGATAGAAAAATAATTCGTTGAGAATTAAAATTCAGTTCAGCAGTATCTCATATGTTATCTACAGACTAGTCTCCCTACAGTATGTATAAATGCAGATTTCTGCATATACTTTTCTAAAAAAAGATTTGTTAAGCAAAGAAATTTTGGAAGAGTACATTAGTTTTAACTGGTTCCATGCAATTTGTGGAATTCTGCCTTGCCAACTTAATGTATTTTGATTAAGAATGGGACAAGGTTTCACTTTCTAAGCAAAGCCAGATGTTTTTAACTTTTTTACTAAAGAACATGACAAATTATAGACTAAGAATTTCAATTGTAAAAATATATGCTTCCAGTTTTCAACTTCAAGCTTTATACTTAGTCTGTTGTAAATCACAGGTATCAAATCATTTTAGAGACTTAGTTTTTCCCTCTCTAACCCAATGCTAGAGTAGAGAGAAGGACAAAACAAGATGTTTTTTCAAATTCAAATTGTACAAGAATTTTACAACATTCTTTTTTCCCATCTAAGAATAAAAGATTTTCAGAGACTCTTAAAAATTGCATAACATCATAACATCAAACTACCCCAAACCATGCGGCCAAGTTAATTTGTGGGCAAGTTCATGTACAGGATTGCAGATTAAATCAACCCTTTATTTGGGGTTAAGCCCTACAGATTTCAGTAGGATTTACTTCCAGGCAACTGCACAGACGGACTGCAATCTTAAATCATATTTATCAGCAAGTTCCAAAGAACTGAGACAGATTAAAATCCGAGAGGTAAAAGCTAATATTATTTAAACACTAAAATTTAATTCTAAAAGAGTATAGAAATGCTAAACATCTTAAGTATTTATGAAACTCTATATGGTAGAAGGAAACAAAATAATGTATCTTATTTTTGCAATCTACTTGCAGTCTAAAATTAGTACAACAATTGTATATTGTTCACACCATAACAAACTTACAGAATGAATCCAACAAAGTCCTTAAGAACCCAGCTTTCTTGTTGTCTCCTCTCTCCCTCTCCCTCTCCCTCATTCTCTCTCTCCTTACACACACATACACACAGAGAGAAAAATACATCATCAAAACTCTATAGAAGGCAGACTTTGAAAGAAAGTGGAGAACTTGCCTCAAAACCAAATCAGAGAAGAAGTACAGAGTATACTTTTAGAGCTACAAAGGCATGAAAATGCAATACTGGGCAGAAGTGCCTGAAGGCATCACTAATACATGATGATAATGACTGGTCCAAGAAGACAATGAATTTGGGGGCTAAACTAAGAGAAACCCTGGGCTTTCACTATTTAATTTAGTATATAATCTTTAAGCATAAAATTGGCTCAACTTTACTTGGGAATGACTTGACAGATGTTGTTTAACAATATTATAGGTATTTTTCTTCTCTTAACAAACCATTCTTATGTTACATACGTAAACATAATTGTAAAGAGTTAATCTTAGAAATTAAACTTAAGAAGCAAGCATTAAAAAATGAAAAGATTGAGAAAATTGTTTTCCTTACTTAAAAATTGCAAAAATATTGCTACTTTTAAATTGTTTGAAAGATTATATTTTATTTGGCTTGTAGTAATGGCAGGACACGTGGCAAGGTGAGAATAACAACATGATTTTCAGAATCATTGAGGAATAATATATTGAGATTTTGCTTACCTGCAGATATTTGAACAGAAATTTCATTTTCAATCAAATTATCTAATCTAGCCCTTTGTAAAATTTCACAATGTTTTGTGGCTCCATTCTATTAAAGCCTGAGGACAACACCATCTTCCTTTAGCAAAACACTTTTTTGTTGCAGCTGCTCTTTCAATGTAAATACTCTTCTAATTTAAAAATAACCATTTCGTCTGTTTTTACAGACAGAATAAAATATCCCATCTGTCTCTAAATTAAAAAGAGCCACTCAGGCCAGACAACATTGCCTTTAGCAGCTCCTAAAAACTTCAGAAAAAAAGAGATCTTAAAACAGGAAGCTTAGTAAGCTCATAAAACTGCTGTTGGAGCCAGGAACACATAGCATATTTAATCCGCAAACTGCAAGAGAGAGTCTACAATGATTTCAGCAAGATCTGAGGCATGCCCTCAAGGTTTGCTGGGATCGGGGATTAGGGAGTTGATAAGAACCTCAACTGCCCATGGACATGTTTTTCTTCTGCAGTTAAACACAAATGCTGAGAGACGTTTGACTGCTGCTTGGAGTTACTGCTCATGTTATATAAAAGCTTTGCAGCTCCTTTTGCTGTCAATATATCAAAGTTGAAAAAAATCATCAAAGTGTAAAATTTCATTTAAAGTCTTTGCCAGTCTACAGCTCTATTGCACAGACCTATCAAATAAAACAAAAGATGAGAAAACACAGACAGTACTTTAAAAAAAAGTTTTGCAGTGTCTAGTTTTTGTTTGTTTGTTTACTATTTTGCTTTTAACAAATCCAACTCATTACAAATATAAACAGAACAGAAAGTGTAAACAGGGAATAGTGGAGGTATACATTCAGAAATATTTTGATTAAACAGATGTTTGAAATTATTTACAGTAATTCTTGTAAAAACCACCACAACAATCCTCCAGCTATTGTAACATCTTAATTCCTCACTGCAAACCAATCAGGCTAAGTATGTATTGCTATCTTCAAAACAAATCAAATAAACTGTACAATATGTGGGCCGGTGATAGTAAAGCCTTCATCTAAGTATTGCTTCAACTCAGGGGATTTGCTACAATTGCATATAGTAGAGAAAACTGACTTTTGAGATAATCTGCTATAGTCTAAAATCATTAGCATTCCATTACTAAGGTCTTCCTAAGGATTTCATGACTCATTGATTTACTCTTGCTTCCAGTCTACCACTTCTTAGTACATTTCTGTCCCCACTAGGAATACATGTAGCAATAGCTATTCAACTACTTTCCTTTCATAAGTCTTGGTCTTCTCCTCATCAGAACACATCTTGTTACTATTTCTAGCAGATGCTTTGTTCAAAGAGTAAATTGGAAAACATTTTTGAAAATGTTTTCTCCGTGAAATAAACACCCCTGCAGGGTGCAACGCATGCAAATAATTACCAGTGACAACTAATCTGAGATTTTTTTTCCACAAGAAAGAGATATGCTCTAAAAAATACTATCAGCAAATAATAAGTAAAAGAAAGAAAGTATAATCTACTTTATCAATAAAAACTAGATATTACTTACAGAAGAAAGTCTTCCCAACAAAATGTTAACTTTTCAGCATTTGAAGCAAATGCTGATTGTTCTATTTGCAACAAAAGCTGAGAATAAGTAACTTGCACAGGCAAAATGCTGTTTCTTTACAAGCAGGTTTGAATGACAACTAACGTTCTTAAGAAAATGATAGAAAATGCCTAAAAACACTATAAATCATTTTCAACAAGTTTAATATATTCATGTAGATTTCAATTGTGTTGGTTAGTATACAACATAAATTATACCATTTGAAGTACAGTTCTTTTAATTTGATAGCTATTCTATTCAAAATCATATACACTGGGATTCCATAGCCTGATTCTAATCATAAATTTAAAAACTTTACAATAAATCCTAACCCAATATTTGAGATTTTTTCCTTTGGTAAACATTTTTTAAGAACTTAATTCTATATATTTTTTTTCTTGCCTGGTAATAATTTCCATTCATCTCAACAGGATTTTCTTCTACTGAGTAAAGTAAATATCATGCAGAGAATAGAACTTTAAAAAAATTAAAATTTCTACAATCAAGTCAATCCTACCTAAAATTTTGTCTTAAATTAGGCTGAAAAGTAATTTATTTAAAAGTTATCAGTGTTTGTTGTGAATAGTATTTCATAGATACATTTTTGAAACAGTTTATACATTTTACACTGTTGGAGCTATGTGGTTAATTTTTACAGGGAGCTGTGACTCTACCAAGCATTAAGGTAATATTTTATAGAATTAAATTATTTATTTTTAAACAATGTAATTTTTTCTTCTCCAGAATATTTTTTAAGATTTGCAATTAATAAAATATCAAATTCAATTAATTTTTAATAAAGAGCCTAAAGGAAACAATTATTAGTATCAATCATTGAGGCACCTTTCTAAATTAAAACTATAACAACATAAAATACTCCAAACTGATAAGGCAACTTAGCTGATTTCAGGCTACAATGAGGAAAGCTCAGGGATATATTTTTTTTTTATTTTCTTCATAAATATGTGTAATCATTCCTTGGTGATTCCTTGTTCTGAGTATCCAAATGGGTTCTTGTTACTACTTTAGCATGATGAGAACACAAAAAGAGGCACTAAAATCATTCTTCTTAAGACCAGATGGCAATTTAATGAACCGTGTATTTCAAAAGGTTTGGGATATGCTGAGTTTTTCTGTGACCCATTCAAATGAAATTAAAATTGCAAGCTCTAGCATCAAAACTGACCAAGTCTTTAAAAAAGTAAACTTTAATGCCAATAAGAAAAAGACAACTCATCATATATACTTAACTAATTTAACAATGAGTTGTTTAACACTAACTTCTCCAAATGGACTATCACCTATATTTTAGGTTTTAAAAGGGCTGTTAGACTGAGAAGCAAACAGCTCATCATTCCAAACCAAAGTGGCAGCTGGAAAATGTGGAACAGCTGGCACTGAGCAGCGAGAAAGGGTTTTACATAAATATCTGTACATATAAAGTGACTGAAAGCCACAAATATCAGATCCAAAGGATAGGATCAACACAACACACTAGTGGATTCAAATAAATGAAGGGAGAGAGTTAGAGTTAGTTACCTTTATTTTCTCCCCACGTGGTACTTGCAACAGACAATAGCCTACAACTTCTCCTGTGAACAACCCAAAAGAAGCATAAGAACTCATCTTCCTGGATTTTTTAGATTCTTTTGTTATTTATCTGATCCAAATTATTTTGCTAGTAACTATTTACCCTGCCTTTTTTTTCCCTTCAAGTCTTTAGAGTACTATTCATTTAGCTGTCCAGTCTGCAGCTTCCCTTACTGATAGAATAAGTTTGAAAGAGAACCAAAATTCAGAAAGAAGAAAGTACTATAATCCATGAAGCTTTTTGTCTGCATTTGAATAGTATACAATGGAAATTTTACCATCTGATTAAAGTGGATTCCTGCCTACACAAGCTTTAACTCACCAACTTCTAAGCCAAATGAAGGAAGTTTCCTTGTTCTACCTCAGAAATGATAAAATTGAAGACAGAACTTTCAGTACCTACCTATTCCCTTGCACTACCTCCCTTTCTTAAACCTTTTCAAATAAAGAATTACAAGTCAGAAATGGGGCAAACTGAAATTCCTAGCACTACAAATAATAGCTGGAGGTTGTGTACAATACCACATCCGATCACTTGCTTTCAACCTTCCAGATGTGGCAAACTTCCAGCCACCACAGAAACTGCTGGCAAGAAAATAAATGTTATTTTTCTTCTCTTCCTCTCCCACCCACCCCCCAATTTAGAAAAGGCCAAGCAGCTGCGACAAGCCTGCAAAATGTACAATTCAACAGAACTGTTAAGCTTCCAAATCCTTCATACTGGAATGGCACTGATTTGGCAAGTCAAGGCAGAAGAGGGTAAGTATGTCCGGGTTTTGCCTTCCACCGCATTATTTTGCCTGTTTATCCAAAGTTACCCACATAGGACAAAACTTCAACTAAGTTTTATGGCATGGGACTCACTCCCAAGTCAGTCTGCATAGAATCACAATATTAGACTCCCCCTTCCCAACAAGCCTTGAGCCACTTGAAATTCTTAGTTCTTCCAACCTCGACTGAAGTAAAAATAAATGAAGAGATCAAATATGGAATGAGAAAGGCAGTTCTCCCTCCCTCTCTTCTGTGAAAACAGAAGACTTTTCTGAAGGTCCGGCGATGCTGCAAGTTAAACAAAGAACTTTCTCTCTCTCTCTCTCTCTCTCTCTCTCTCACACACACACACACACACACACACACACTCACACACAAACACACACACACGGGGGGGGGGAGAGACGACGTACCTGCAGCCGCTGCCGCCTTTGCTTCTACTGAGGTCAAGAGGGGACCCAAAAACTTCCCATAAGATCGGGGCCCTCAGTGCCGCACCTCTCTTAGTTCACACAATGTGAGAGCTTCCTCAATCGCGGCTAACTCTTAACAGCACTGATCCTCAAGGATGAAAGAGGGCATTTTGCTTCTGTTTTGGAGGGAGGACGAAAAGGAGGAGGGAGCAAATGAGAGGAGGGGGGGAGGTTATCTAGTTTTATATTTCTGCCTTTCTTATACAGAGCGTGCACTCGCTCGCCCTCTTGTTGTGTCTGTGTATGCCGATTCCTTTTTTCTCCAAGAATTTACATCAGTTTCAGGGATCCTGTAATCCGATCCCTTCTGACTCACTAGCTCTGAGTGACATTTCTTTGATTCGACTCAACAACACAAACCGGGAAGAAAGGGGGGAAGGGAGAGGAAGAAATCTTGGCAGCTCCTTCCTAAATCAAATTTCCTTTTTACGACCCTATCTTGGCCAAAATAAAATATTTTTGTCGCGGATGGATTCTGAGGGACGATTTTGTCCTTTTACTCCCACAGAAAACATTCAGCGCGATACTCACGTGCTCGAAAAGTTGTCGGTTCCGCTGTTTCCCTGGCCGACGCTTCTTCCTCCTCCCACCCAACTTTTACAGATGTTGCCGGGCTGTCCTGCTTCACCACCTTCACCACCACTTCCTCCTCCTCCTCCGTGGTTTTGCGGAGTAGAACGAGGAGAAGAGGCAAGGCGCGCCTTTGAAAACTTACTCAACTCGCTCAACTTTTTTAAGCGCGTCTCCACGTGGAGAGGGGGAAAGCAAACGTGGGTTTCTTCCCTGGATACTTTGACGGTTCCCAATTCCGGCTGCCCACTCAATATCCTCGGCGCTTTCGTTTAAAAAGCCAAAAAGGCGGGAGGGGGGAGATAAGGAAAGGGCGGGAATCGGAGAGCACGTCTGCTTAGGCCCCATGTGTCCTGCGGGGAAGGCGAGGAAATCAGAACGGGAGGCCACGGGCGCCTTCTTGGGTATCTGCACTTTTCTTCCTTTCTTACCGCATCGACATTCCCCTGAATTAAGGCTCCTCACTTCCTTAACTTTAGCACTAACGGCTCCTAGTTTCTGGCCCTTATTTGTCTCCTTCACCTTCTCTTTCTCTGTTCATCAGACTTAGGTGAATCCCCCCATCTCTGCTACACTTGGTTCCAAGCTTGCCAGCCACCTACTTAAGCCCTCCACTGAAATAAGTGAATCCTGCTCTCAGATTGATAACAAGGTTTGTTATCTCCGTGTTTTGCCTTCTTGCTTTGCCTTTAAATGGGGGAAAATGGAGCAGCCAGATGAAATGTACAGATTACCTGGTACCTTGCCCAAAACCACATAAATATAATCTGTCCTAGTTCTACCAAGTGCTATAGTGGGCTTCATAATGAAGTAAGAGAACTGATACACTGATGAATCTAAATAAATTTGGCATTCCAAATCTGTTTTAATTTGAAAACCTTACATGCCAAACTGATTTTCACCTTAAGTAGCATTATCTGTAAATCTAATTCTTGTTTCTATGACCCCAAGGAATAATACAAATAACACAAATTTGAAAAGGTTAGTAAATATATCAACATTAACCTTTAAAAAGCTCAGGATGACATACATTGGCTCCCAAATTTTTCCAAAAGCAATAAAAAAGTCTAGATTATTAAGCTTCAAGATCAGTAAGTACAATTATTAATTTCTTTGAAATGTAAAGATTAAATAAGGTGAAGTTACTGAAATAGCTACTGAAGCTGTTAAAATAAAGTTGGGAAAGTTACAAGAATTTACATGTGAAAAAGAAGCAAACAAAAATATTTTATGGACACCATTAAGGTGAACTATATTTTAAAACAAATATAATTTGCTTTAATAAATATACTCAGAACTAGCTGAGCATTGCTTTCTAAATATTCTCTCACATGCTATTATATATTCAAGTTTATTTTTTATAAATGGCAAAATAAAAAAGCATACCAAATATAGGTTGCAGTATATAGTTCCTAAACCGAAATTAGTATTTCTTCCATATACCCCAGAAGGAACTCTAATTTAGAACAAGTGTATTATTGCTGGCAAAGCAAAATTATATCTACCATATGATAACTCTCATGAACATTGAAATAAGAAGAATGAAATGTGGAAAACATGTTCAAGGCACAGTTCATTTTAAATTATTAGCTTGATATTTTAATGCTTCTAGCTTTTAGACTGTGTCTGCAGAAAAAAATAATTTAAAATGGTATGCACAGAAGAATCTAAGGGTAGCAGAAAGAATAATCATCAAATTTTCATCTAAGCAAATAACTACTTTTAGAAGAATTACAATATTCTTAAAACCTAACTCTTCTCCCAGATCTTGAGTAAGTGGGAGACCCTTGTGTATTAATACAGTTTTTAAAGAGTTACTTGTGCATTTTGTTTTTATTCCCCAGCACCAGCTGTTCTTTTGCTTATATTTTTGAATAGTTTTATTATTGTTTACTATTCAGAGGCAAAATAAGTAACCATATAATATAAATAAATAGGTATTCATTACAAGCCCTATTGATCACACACGCAGTATTACATTGTTATTGTTATACTCTGGGTCAATCCTAGCCTAATGTCTGATACTGGTAAATAAGTCAAGCCATTTGTGACCTTCCCCTTATGGACCCCTATATAATTAGTACATTAGCAATCTTCTTAGAAGTCTGTAACGTTATCAATATCCTAGAGTTGCCTCACAAGATGAGCAATATAAAAGACTAATAATAAATAAATAAAATTTATATTTATGTAACTGAAAAGTTGAGGAGAAAGATACCATTCCAGCATCTGCAGCAACTGCAAAACAGGATAACAGTGTCAGCAACATTACAGTACCATATCAAACACTGGATTGCATGAAGGCAGCACCTTATCTTTGGAAGCAACCAATTCATTCCAATCAAGAAAGTGTACTTCCATACAGCCTCTTCATGTCATTTGCAACTTTTCAGATGTGTTGGCAACTCAGTGCACACACAGTATTTTATGAGCAACCATGTTACAAACCAGAAGAACTCACCTGTTGGAAATTCAATTTCTGTTATATTTCTTGAATACAATTACTGTTCATAGGCACTTGTAGAGGCACATAACAAAGGTTTCTTTAAAAAGATAAGATGTTAAACACAAAAGCTATGTAGCAATTTGGACACCTAACAAGCATTCAGATTTAAATGCAACAGACAGCCTTAAATCTTTTTTAAGAGAAACAGGCTGGGAAAATTACAAGAATGAAGCCCAATTTGGCAAGCAGCAACCACATCAGAAGCAAAATGAAGGGATTGTGATTTTTACTATCAGCCTATCCAACCACAATAGTAGCTAACAGAAATACATCATGGGTCATTTGTCAACCTTATAGAATCAATCATATTCTTACATTGGCTGTATAATGAGACTACATGTGATTGAAAAGTCCAGATTTCATACAAGATGCTAGATTAAAGTTCCTGCTGTGGTTTCTTTATACCAGAAAAAGAGACCACATCCCACTTGTCTTATGTGCTACAGCATGGCAGTATGCCACTTATGAAGTAGTGATGAAGATCAAGTTTATGAAGATCAGACTTCACAGCATCACCTCCATTTTTTTGCCAGTTCATTTCTGAGACAGTCATTATAAAGTGTACCAGTGTGAAAGCAATTCTCTCATATTTCACTAGAATGTCTCTCAGGCAGACATTCAAGAAAAGGAGTTATTGGATGACCAGTTCAATATCAGCATCTTGGTCATCTCTGTTGAGTCCTCAGCTTAATGGCAATAAATCACAGAGCATCAAGTAGAGTTAAGAAGCTTTTATTGTTGTTCCTTCAGCTCCGTTTCAGCTCTGAGGCACGCAGGCCTCTCTGCCTCTCTTAAGAACATTCCCCGGACCAAATGGCAACATTTGGCGCGCTCTGCTCCTCGTGCATGCGTGCGAAGCAGGCGCCAGCCAGTCTGGTCTCGGACAGCTTGCAACTGCCCGGGACTGTTGCAACGTCCTGAACCTGCCTTTGCAGGCTCAGGACACAACACCCCTTCCCCCCTGGCTAAGACTAATAACCATATGAATAGTTACACGCGACCTCAACACGAGCGTGGTGTGCCAACCCATGCTCCAATGTTACTGGGTTATT